ATGAGAGAGAGCACATGAGAGGGGGGAGGGTCAGAGGGAGAAGCAGACTCCCTGCCGAGCAGGGAGCCCGATGCGGGACTCGATCCCGGGACTCCTGGATCATGACCTGAGCTGAAGGCAGTCGCTTAACCAACTGAGCCACCCAGGCGCCCTCTAGTTTATTCATTTTAAGTGCTATATATATATATATATTTTTTTTTTAAGATTTTATTTATTTATTTGACAGAGAAAGACACAGTGAGAGAGGGAACACAAACAGGGGGAGTGAGAGTGGGAGAAGCAGTCTTCCCACTGAGCAGGGAGCCCAATGCGGGGCTCAATCCCAGGAAACCGGGACCATGACCTGAGCCGAAGGCAGACGCTTAACGACTGAGCCACCCAGGCGCCCCTTAAGTGCTATGTTTTATTCAGTAGTACGAATATTCTATGATCTATTTTTTTTAAGATTTTATTTATTTATTTGAGAGAAAGAGTGTGCACACAAGCAAGGGGGAGGGGCAGAGGGGGAGAGAGGAGATTCCTGCTGAGCAGGGAACCTGACACTGGGCTCCATCCCAGGACCCCAAGATCACAAACCAAGCTGAAGGCAGAAGGCTCAAGCCACCCAGGTGCCCTTATGATCTTTTTTTTTTTTATTGAGTTGACAGGCTGTATCTGTTTTTGCTAATATAAACTGTTGTTGCGAATGGTCTTTATGTGTCTACTTGTATATGAAGTTTCTCTACACTGTATACCTACAAATAGAATTACACTTTTTTCATCTTTACCACATTGCCAAATGGCTTTCTTAAGTGGTTTTATCAGTTTGTATATCTATCAACAGTGTTTTTAAGTTTCTTTTTCTTCACATTCTTGTCAGTCTTTGCTTGCCAGTTTGATGGGTATGAGATGGTATCTCATTGAGATTTTCACTTTTCATTTCATAAACTAATGAGATTAAGCATATTTTCATGGGAGTTTACACCCTGATTTTGTTGATTTGTCTTTTACCCCTCTGAATTAGCTGCTTGCCCATTTTAGTGTAAGATTGTTTTTCCTTTTCCAGTTGATTACTGAGAGTATGTATTCTGGATACTAATCCTTTGTGAATTATTCATGTTTAAATTATTTTCTTCTAGTTTGTTTATAGTGTTTCTATTAAAGTTTAAAATTTTAACATAATCACATATATTGGCTTTTTTTAAAGATTGCATTTTCTTTTTTTAAAATATTTTATTTACTGATTTATTTGAGAGAGAGCGTGCACAAGCAGGGGGAGGGGCAGAGGGACAAGCAGACTCCCCACTGAGCATTGAGCCTGATGTGGGGCTCGATCCCGGGACCCTGAGATCATGACCTAAGCCGAAGTCAGATGCTTAACCAACTGAGCCACCCAGGTGCCCCCATATATTGGCTTTTTAAAAAGAGTTTATGCTTTTGTGTCTTATTTTAAAAATTTCTCTCTACCTCAAGGTTGTAAAGAGTGTTTTCATCATTTTCTTTTACTAAAGGC